AAGACATGCTAGGGTGAGGCTCTGGACAAGAAGCAAGTCTATTTCCCCAGGGGAAGGGCTCCTGGGAACTCGGGGTACTCTCCGGCTCTCCTGTGTGCTCCAGGCAGCTCACAGTGGGTGACAAAATGGAACCTTCCCATTCATGTGTGTCACAGTGTCCTCAGAGATCTTGTGGTCTCAGCAGCCTGGCTTTTCTTGCTTACAGAAAGAATTATGTTACCCAGACATTTCTCAGAGTGTCTGTAGAGAGGTTTGGGTAAGTTGAGGAAGGAGGAAGTGTTGTAAGAAGCTGACTACAAGGGAAAGTTTGTTTCTCATGGATCAGGAACCCAGTGCACAGGACACAGACCAAAGGCTGAACCTCAGCAGGGTACCGTGCGGGGAGTGCGGCACATGCCGTCTGTTGATCTCTGCAGGAAAACATGTGCTCCCCTGAACCACCCAGCACCTCTCACTGCAGAAGTGTCAGAAGGTCCCCTTCATGGTACAGCCTGGCTCACATCCAAGGGTAGATCATTGCAGAGATGAAACCATCTAGTACAAACCAGAAAATCACTATAAAAATCTCTGAGTTGCTTAAGTTCTAATGGGTTCATTAAATAAATGTTCCCTTGGAATGAACCCATTTCAGTGTCTCACCCACAGCTTTACACAAAGCTCGTAAACAAACAACACCCTGGTGCTCCCTCCTACCACCCTCAGAGCCACCTGGAACCTCAGACCTGCTTCAGTACTGGATGAAGACACTTGTTCTTAAACAAGGTGAGAGCTGTGACCATCCTGAACTGGAGAAAGTGCCCAGGGAGACAGAGGAAGGAAGGTGGGATCAGCCTAAGGACCACAACTCCTTCTGAGGAAATTAGAGCCAAATCCTACTTCTCTGTAGGGTGGGACTTAGATTTGCCCACTAAATACGACTCCAAGCTTTCCTCCTGGGAATCGAGGAAAAGGCAAACATTGTGGACGTGAAAGATAGCAGCGTTGGGGCTGTGGCCATCAAGGCAGGGCTTGGGGCTCCTGCTTGCAGAGTCTCAACAACTCACATCAGCTACAACTCTTGAGAGGAGATCTTGCATGCTTCCTGCCTGCCTAGCCTCGCCTTCCTGCCTTCCCTGAAGATATCCTGCTGTGTTTAACAGTGTACAGAACAGACAAAGAAGCTAGCCAGTTTCCAACTCCTTCCCGAAGACCCCACCACCCCCAGAAGTAGAGATGCAAATTCTCACGTCAAGCATCGGAAGGGGCTTCCTAAATTACAATCCAGGATTCTATCTGTCACCCCAATCATGTTTCCGATGGAGACTGAGGTGCTTCCTCCTTGCGTTTGATTCCGCCATCCTAGCGATGGCTTTTTTTATGCAGTGAACAAGGTCCAGCCCTTTCTCCAGCCAATTCACTTCATCAGCAGCTGACAGATGTCCAAGGATGCAAAAGAACATTACCAGCAATGGCAGAGAGAACAGGAGCAGCAAGCAGGTGACAGGAGCCACCACTGAGACCGCCACCAACTCTCCCAGACTAACAACCTGCAAATGAGGAAAAATAAGAAGGAGATTACAGAGAATTTTAGGAGTGCTTAAAAAAATAAAAACAAAAAGCCCTTCTAATCATGCATGTGAAAAAATAGGACATCCTCTGCATAGCAAGGGGAAATATTTTAGCAAAAGTTATTGGTCTTTCTGTGACTGTTTTTGATGTTTGTGATCCAAACAAGTAAATAATGAATGGATTTTTGTTAGTTTTTAATACATGACTAAAGAATAGTGAGCCAAAGGTTTTTGGTTTTCTCTTTGTCAAAAGGAAAAAAGGAAGGAAATGGAGCAGGTTGTTATTGTGGAATGGACCATCTTTAGTCCTGGCCTGAGTTCTAGTGTTGAATGCCCATGTACTAGCAGTGTGGGATTCAGACTGTGCATCCATGTGACCCCAAGCTTTACCTATCACTTCCCTGGGGAAGGGTTCAGCAAGTAACAAAGGGCTGGCACTGGTGTGTGGCACAGAGCACGTGTTCCCAAATAGCAGCTCTTCACCTCTCTCAGTGATCCTGAGTGACAAGTACCACACTCACCCATCTCCAAAGGAACCCCCATAGCTACAGCTGAGAATTAACCAACACCAGAATTGATGCTGGAAGGCAAGAGAGGCCCAACAGCTGTACCTGAGTGCCCCCAAAAGGATGCTCTGAAAAACACCAGAGCAACATAAAACCAAGCTCCTTCCTAGCTCCAAGCAGTTGCCTGGGGGCAGGCAGCTCCTGGCTGGCTGACAGGCCCTGACTCATTCTCACAGAACATCTGCCAGCTCTCCCCCATCTTGGTTTCAGCCTCTTTTCCCTGTACTTAACATTTCTCTGACTTTTAAAATTTAGATTCTTTCTTGCTTTCTTTCCCCATGAAAGCATACAAATTAAGCCTGAGAGAGAAATGGAAGACAGGAGGCCACATAAGCACAGTTCCTTCCTGTCCTGACCCCTCAGGCCATCACCCACGTTCTTCCATGGACTTAGCATGCAGTCAGTAGGTTAAAAAAAAAAAGGGAAGATTACTGGCCCCCCATGGGGCTTGAACTTGTGACCTCTGCCTCTTTTGGAATGATAATGTGCTCAGTACAACTCTTCTAACTGCCTTCAGACCAACAAAATCCGGTGTCCATTTCATGGTATTATCCTATGACTCATTATTTAGAATCCTAAAACACGATATTGTTGACACCTGAAGGAGTCTGGTACTTTCAAATGAGTATTTCGTTTTAAGAGAACCTATGAGAATGAACAGATAAAGATGGAATAATTTGCTCCACAAAAAAGGCGTAAAGCATAACAATGAGCCAAGACCTTACTGATAGGTCTCACTCTGTTTCTATAAACTACGAGCAAATGTTTTGTTATTTTCCTTGGGTAAAAAGTCATACACTTTCTTGACACAATTTTAAAAAGCTTTTGCAAATATTATATAAAGAACATAAATTATTTTAGACATGATGGTTAATCTCAATTATCAACTTGAGATCACTGGGGAAAAGGGCCTCTAGACATGCTTGTGGGGGATTATCTTGATGGGTTAACTGAGTCAAGAAGCTGTGCCCACTGTGGGCAGCATCACGCCCTGGGCCAAGCACACGTGTTCAGTGCTCTGTTCTTCCTGACTGTGGACACACTATGATCAGCTGCTTCAAACTCCTGCCACTTGACCTCCCCAGCGTAATGGACTGTACTTCGAACTGTGAGCCAACACACACCCTTCCCTACTCAGTTGTTTTTCTCCAGGTGTTTTCACAAGAAAAGTCAGATACTAGTTACCTTGGGTTATCCACTTTATGAAATCATATCTAAACATTTGCAGACTGGTTTTAACCAAAGCTTCAATTAACAGTTTGACATTGTAATATTAGTACACACACACACACACACACACACACACACACACACATACACACACACACACACACACACAGTGTATTCCAAGGGCCAACAGTAAATGATTTGGGGCTGATTCGTTGCTTTTGAGCTTACCTCAAAACTGATTTTCTTAGGCCTAGTGTATGTTACCATGTAATCACATTCCTCCAAATTAGGTCTGTTTATATAGTGGTATCCCACATTGGAAAGTAAAAATACCCCCATGGAAATAATGCAAGGAGTGTTGAAGGATAGTTGGTTTTGTCATTGGAATCCATTTATCAATTACCTACCACAATTGTGTGAATTTTACACTGAGGTAAATATAGATATTCTGCTCCACTTAGCACTAATTTGTCTGTACTCTTTATGAAGTTTAAAGCAGCGAACTTCCAGTAAAATTTGTTTGTCATGCCCATGAGAGGCTAAAAGGAGTCTGTGGAAATGTGGGTCATATTTTGAAAGAAACTAAACAAGGCTGTTTGCTAATTGCATGTCTAAACTATTTCCTTAGGGCATTAGCTTTCTTCAAATACTATCACATTATTAGTTCTAGGTCAAAAGTTTTTTCTTATAAATATCATAGTATAGTATATACATATGCCGGGCTGTAGAGATGTTTTGGTGGGCAAGAGCACTTGCTGAGTAAGATACAGACCTGAGTTTAGATCCCCCGAACCCACTTAAAACCTGAGTGGGTCTAGAAGTACCTGTAACATCAGGCACGGAGGTGAGGGAGACCAGAGGCAAATGAGGCACACGGGCTGACCAGCCTAGGTAGCGAAGCCACCTAGCCAACCTGGTAAGCTCCAGGCTCAGTAAGAGACCCTGTCTCAAGCAAATAAAATGGACCATGATAGAACAAGTCACCCAGTGTCCTCTGGCTTCTGTATGCATGCAACAATGCACACACACAGACAGACATGCCTTCAATAGGCGCATTCAAATCCTATGTGTAATTTTTAATCACTAGAAACCACAGACATATGTTGAAGCATTTGCCTTCCCTTAGAAAAGGAATTGTTTATCCAGTGCTCCTGAGTTTGTCGGAAGTAAAATAACAGTCATACTTTCTAGCTGATGAGTAGAAAGAGGAGCCTAGCTCTGCGTACACCACTGGCATCTGAGACACCTGTGAAGGGAGTCAGTTAACTCTCTGATGTGCACATAGGTCAACACGTCCCAGGAAAAAGCCATGGTCCCATGGTCATCGTAGTGAAACTGTAGTAAATAGAGAGCTGAGTAAGCAGTTGTTAAATGAAGAGAAGATCACCAATTGTTTTGAAGCCTGTATGATATACACGTGTGTGTGTGTGTGTGTGTGTGTGTGTGTGTGTGTGTTTGTGAGTATGTGAGTATGTGTGTGTGTTGGTGTTAAGAATGAAACCCAGGGCATTGTACTTCCTAGGAAAATACTCTACCACTAATTAGCACCTCTAAGTAAGAACAATTATTCTAAAACTTATTATAGATAAAACCATCCTAAATCACCATTATTAGTTCCCATTGCTATTATTTTATTAGAATTCTTGAATTCTTGAAGCTTAATAAAGTCCACTAACTCATTCTGTTCTTATGGCATATACAAACTATTGGTAAGACATCATCCCAAGTTCTCAGTACAGAGCTCTACAGGAACAAAACAAAACAAAACACCGAATGGATGTAGAGGATCTGTAGTAAGGTCACTTGCCCAGTCTCACAAACTCTAACCAGCCAAAGTTTCTTCTTCAGACAAAGCCCCTCACTAAAGAGAAATCTGCCTAGAAGAGAAAGGGGGAGAGGAGAGAATATCTAGTTAGAAACAAGGGGCCACAGAGCTGGGGTTAACTAGTACCTGTAACCCTGCACTTGGGAAGCCAAGGCAGGGGAACTACCTCAAGTTCAAGGCCAGCCTGGGCCACAGTGGGAGGGTCTATCTCACGAACGCAGTGGGCTGAGATGGATTGGTTGTAAAGTTCTTATCAGATATATGGGTAGAGAGAAAAGATACAGTCTTTCAATTACATAAACCACATAACCACTCAATGAAATCCCTTCGTTTCCTACACTAATAACTACATAGCTTAGTTTCCAGAGAGCCCTCTCCAATGAAAACCTGCTTATAATATGTCCTCTTAGACTGTATCATTGACAAGACACCTTTTCTGGGCACACCACTGTGTGGAGACATCATTAGCATGTGCATGAAGAGACTTGTCCAGGTCTTCTGTCTTGTTTCCATGGAATGAGACAAGTAAGAAAGCAGAGGAGAGGCCTGATCACTTTAAATTTAGAGCCACAACCTATACCTTCTAAATTAACTCAGCCGTTCACCTCACCGAGCTACACAACATTCCCACTTACTTGTGTCTAAGGTGATGGAATTGAACATGAGTGTGATAGAAGTAAAGCATCTTTTTTGTACTCCCATCACACGCGCACACACACACACACACACACACACACACACACACACACACACACACACCCCCTACCTATGCCTCATTCTAATATATTACCTCCTTCCCCATCTTCTAAGAGAAATCCATCACACTCAAACTTGACTCCTCTTTGTGTCTCATACCAGCCAAGCAATCTGCCTGAAAATTGTACAGTTCCTACCTTTCAGTATATCCAGATTTAGCCACTGATCCCACCTCCACGCCACCTCCCTGGTTCAGGCCAACATCATCACTTACACTGACTGCCAAAAAGAGCTCAGGCAACGCATCTCTGCTTCCTGCCTCCCTTGTGCCCTTTAGAGTCTATTTTGAGGATATCAGTCAGAGAGATGCCTTTAAGACATCAGTCAAGTCATACCACTCCTCTGTTCAGAGCTCTCCGAGGATTCTGATATCTTTCAGAGGAACAGCCAGAGTTCTGACAACAGCCACCAGGGACCCAAACATCCTGGATCCCGTGACCCTTCTGCCTTCACCGTCTGTCGTATCCCCTGACTCACTCGGCCTCAGGCCCACTGTTCTCACAAGCGTTCCTCAAACCAGCCAAGTATATGTGGCCTCAGGACCTTTGTACCATCCACTGTTCTGTCTACAGAACTCCTTTCCCAAGGAACCACAGGCTTACTTGCATGTCTCCTTCAGATATCTGCTTAAGTGTGCCTGGTCTGTGCGGCTTTTCCCAGCCACTGTTTATAATTGTGATGGTGGTCTTCCCCAGAGCCTGTCCTTTTCTTTCCTGTTCCCCTCACTCATCGCCCCTCAAAATGCTGCACATGTTTTTCTTTCAGTTTCTGGTGATCATCTCGCAGATAAGGACAGAGCTGCTGGCTTTGTTCAGTGTTCTGTCCTCAAATTGGACTCTCGGGAGTGTCTGAAGGATGTAGGGTAGACTCTCGGCAAAGGTTGCATAAATTGGTTAATAACATAGCAAATCCATTTCAGTGATCTGAGTCTAGATGCTGAAGTGACCCAATAATGTCAGAACAGTAACTCAGAAGTACCGTGTTCCCGTGGAATTGCAGATCTCCTCCATCGGCTGGGGACACCACTACAGGGATCTGAGCTCAGACAAGAAGTCAGGAGTGCAACATCCCAGATGTTGTAGTTGTGCAACATCCCAGATGTTGTAGCTGTGCAACATCCGGTACATCTAACCAGCACTAAGCACTGATTAGTTTTTGTCAACTTGACACAAACTAGAGTCACCTAGGAAGAAGGAGCCTCAACTGGGGAACTGCCTCCATCCCTCTGGCCTGTGGGCATGTCTGTGGTGCTTTTTTTTGAATTACTGATCGACGTAAAAGCACCCAGCCCACTGTGAGGGGTGCCATCCCTAGGCAGGTGGGCCAGGGCTCTATATGAAAAGTTGTTGGACAAGCCAGAGGAAGCAAGCCAGTGAGCACCATGGGTCTCTGCTTCAGTTCCTGCCTCCAGGCTCTGGCTTGAGTCTGGCTTCACTAAAGGATGGGCTGTGACTCGTAAGCCAGACAAGTTGCTTTTTGGTCTGTGTTTTTTCTCAGCAACAGAGAACTACAGTCTCCTTGGGGAACAACCTAGAACTCTGGCAGAAGGGGCCTCGGAATCTGATACCCAAAAAGGGTGCTAAGTGAATGACCTAAGAGAAGAGTGATCCCAGTCATCCCCACCCAAACCCAGACCAGGAAGGACCCCTGGACACGCAGTGGTAGCAGAGGTGAAGGAGGGAACCTCAGTGAATCTACTCACCCATTCTGCTGCTGCGAAGGGGGCTCCTGACAGAAGCAAAGTGGGTGTCACCTGGGTCTTCCAGAATTACACCTCCAAGACCAGGATCCCATGTGGGGAGGGGACATTTCACCTATCTCCAGGATGCCAGATTTAAGCGCCCCCAGGGCTGCAGGATGACAGGAAGAAGGGAAGAGTGGCAGAGCTTTCAGGATCCCCCACCCCTCCCTTGAGAGTGTCTCTCCAACCACGGTGGGTAGGTAGGCCAGGAGACTGTCCCAAACCAGAGGAAAGACCTGGTGCTGTAGACCTAGGCCCTTGCCTGGCTGTGGGAAAAGAGAAAGGACATCTTCGGAAGTCTTACTCCCACATAAGAGTGGCTCCTTATGCACACACACATGTACACATGTGCACACACACACAGACCCACACTTTTCTGATCAAGCCCTATCCCCAGGGCTGCTCTCTCCCTCCCCCAGGTCCCTTCCCCACCATCTTCCCTCTCACACCTGTTTGTACCTTCCTCCTGGTCCAGGTGAAGTCTATGTCACCTTTCACTCCTGTTCAGGAAGCTCTAGCTTCACCTAGGGGCTGGCCTGAGTTCTCTCCTGCAGGTCTTGGGGTTGCTGAGGGTGAGGATGGGGTTGGAGTTGAAGTTCTAGAAACCATAGTGTTGGCGGGGCTGGAGCAAATGGTGTGTGTGCCGTGGTAGCTCAGCTTTATGTGTTTTAATGAAGCTGGTGGGAACGAAACCAGGCAGAATGACAGGAGAATGCTCTGTGGTACTCCTCTTCTTCAAACCACTGCCAAGTTGTAGGTGGTCAGCAACTGTGAGGTTTTTTCCTAAATGATTATAAAACCTCACTAAATCTCAAATAGAAGCATATGTATTGCCTTTAAAAATGGATACTGTCCACCATTTACTATATAGACATATTACCTTAAAGTTATATGAAGTACAATCTATGGGCACAATGTCACAGAACACTAGATTTGTGAGGAAAATCTGTTTTCTAAAGAAAAAAAAATTAAAATAAATACTTCACTTTTTTCCTGGGTTTTCAGGAAAAGTTTCTTGTGTCTTAGGCTAGCCCCCAAGGACCCAACCCTCCCTCATCTACCTCCCAAGTGCTGAGATCACAGGCATTTGGCACCATGCCTGGCTGCAAACTAATTCATCTTGGTTTTGAGTTTGGAAAAGTTCCTCTGTGCTGGATCACACCTTTGCCCCATAACCTCATCCTCACACCCCTCACCCCGCCGTACACTCCCACCACCAAATGCACGTCCTTCACTGAATCCAGCTAAGAACTCAATGTCAGAGTTCATTGACTGGGAGCTTGGGCAGAAATAACTCGTTTCAGACAGCTCTGGGTCACTGTGCAAAGCTCACTCGCCCTCCACTTCTTCCAGTACAATAGGTACCAGCAGTATGGCGCCGAGGAGTGTGTGCTGCAGATGGGGGGCGTGCTGTGCCCCCGTCCTGGCTGCGGAGCTGGGCTGCTGCCTGAACAGGGCCAGAGGAAAGTCACCTGTGAAGGAGGCAACGGCCTGGGCTGTGGGGTGAGTACTGACCACACCCAGGGGTCCCTGGTAGTGTGCTCCTTTGCTTTTGTGGATGTGCTAAGACTGTTCAAATTTTCCTTTTGGCCTCAGACATACTTAAACTGATGTACAGGAAAAAAAATTTCATTCCTGTGTAGGACTCTAAGATGTGCTGAACCCCCATGCCAGACCTTTACACTTTCCTTGTGATGTCCAGCTGATGCAGCGGGGAGAGAAAGTCTCCTCAGTTACATAAAGCAAAAGTGAAGGAGGAAGTGAGTTTCCCATCCAGGCTGTTGAGCGACCCCGTTTGCTTTGGAGTTTCCAGAAATAAGATGAAGATTAGTACAGAAAAACCCAAAATGCGACTGTGGGGTAAAAGCATTTTGAAATGGAATAAGCCACGCTGATGATGCCTGTAGGGAAGCAGAATGAGGAAAGAATGTTCTGAGGGGTCAAGCAGACGAGCCGAGCAGGTCCCACCCTTGCCTATGTCCATCAAGGGGAAGGGAAGCTATTCCAGTCTCCAAATGCTCACTAAATTACAGGTTCAAGTGACAAACGAATGCTAATGCTGGTATTAAATCTCAGACAGACTGGGTAAGAAAGAAAGGTGGGCTCTCTTATTAGATGCTAGTGAATTTTGATGGGAAACGTTTCTTTTAGGATTGCAGGTTCACGACGAGGTTTCTGGAAGAGGGTGTGGTTAGCAGAGTCCTAGCACCCAGGCCTAACTTTTGGTTACGTCATTTGTTCATGTGTCAGCATCTGTTGCGCTCAGTGAAGCTCGCTGTGTGTTCTCTGCTGTGGCTCACAAAGCTAGGGTTGTGCAACCGAGAAAGTAGAAGTTGGAAGAGGAGAAAGATGCCATGGTGCCCGAAGGGAGAACAAGCAAACGAAAGGCAGCTCTGGGTTAATAATCACAGTTGCATGAGCATGACAATAAGCAATGTTGCTGTCCTCGTGCAAATCAAAGCATGTAACTCAAACCACACTCCCCAGCCTTAGTCTCCATCACTGTATAGTCTACACACTTGCCAACGGCCTGAGCTGGCTGCCACATTTGGGGATCAGAATCCTGTCAAGTATTTTCTGTTCAAGTGAGTTACACCCCTTCTAGACGGATGGCTGATTCGTCTGTCTGCTGTTGTCCTAATGTTGTTTCTGTCTATAAAGCTGAATTTTAATATTTTTCATGAGGTGGACAATTTTTTCTTTGATTTGGTTTTTGCATTGTCTCTTACTTTGCTTTGAGAACTTTGAAGGATTTTAGTCATTTTCTATTTTGGAAGCATTCATGTTATAATTGAGTTGGGTTTTTGTTTTCTTTTATGCAGTATGATGTCATGAGTAACCTATGTATTTAAACTCCAAACAGTGAAGAATTACTTTCTAAAAATGTTATTAAATTTATGTAATTATTGGGTGGATGCATGTGTGGAAATCTGAGGACAAATTGTGGGAGTCGGTTTTCTCCTTCAATTGTGAGTTGTGGGGGAGAGGGGTTGTATACTAGGAGTCTTGGACTTGGTGGCAAGTGCCTTTACACACTGAACTATCTCACTGGCCCAGGAAATTGCTTTAGAGATCATTTGAATGGCTCCAGCATCTTTGGATTACCTGAGTTTGGGGACAAACTTTACCTCAAAGAAAGTAGCTATATTCAGGTGTCCCTTTGGCCTTAGGAATTCTGGGTAATATGAGTTTTGTTTTAATTTTACTTGTTCTGTTTTGTTGTTGGAGTAGAATTGTTGGGTTGTATTCATTAGCTAGTGTTACGTAACAAACGACCCAAAACTTCATTAATTTCTTCTGGCATTTATTATGTCCCAGAGCTCCTAAGGACCAGGAGTCACCAATGAAAGATTTGGCTGGGTGGATCTGCTTCAGGGTGTCCCATGAGGTTGTAGTCCAGATGGGAACATCTGTCCGAGAGCTTGGCTAAAGCAGGAAGCTCTGTCGGTAGGACAGTTACTCCATTCACATCTGGAGGCAAAAGACCTCAGTTCCTCCTTGGCTGTTGCTGGAAGGTATGGCCCCTCACCACAGGGCCCTGTTCTTGGTTGTTTCTCTTCAAGATAGCAGCTAACTTTTCTCTGAGCATGTGACCCACATAAGAGAGCAAAGAGCACCTATTTGGGATCTACTCCTCTAAGTCCCTGATCATCACTTCCACTTGAGTCTACCCAGGAGATCCATCCTACCCTCAAAAGATGGAGAACTTGACCCTATCATGAAAGAAACTATCAAAGAACTCATGGGTGTATTTTAAACTACTTTCACTTGCAATTTGAAGTTGAAAAGAGAACAAAGGAAAAATGAGCTTACAAAGGCCGCTTCTCCCTCCCCTCTGTCCTTCCCCTCCCCCTCCCTTCTCCCTCCCCCCCTCCTGACTGCCTTAGTCTATCCATTCTCTCCAGCTTCCATTGGTTCCCATGCTTTTAGCTTCTTGGCAGACACAGATTGACTTCATCTTCCCTCTTTGCTTCAGATCCCCAACTTTCCCAAAAGCACATTAACCCAGTTGAAATAGGTTCTCTGAAGCTAAGCAAGCCCTCAATTTTAAATGCTTTCTTTTGTAAGTTGTCTTAGTCAAGGTGTCTATTCACAGCAATAGAACAGTAATGAAGATAATCATCAAAGGCTTCATCAATGTCCATTGAACACTTACCTAAAAGACTTGGTATTCAAGGAAAATTGCTTACAGAACATTCATCTGGTCCAGTCTTTCACATAATCTAGAATCTACCCTGAATCAAGTCCTATCTACAGGAGAGATCTGCATCCTAGACCCATTATTTTACTCCTGAAAAGGTTTCTTTTCCTGATTAACTCTTGGGAATGATGTCATTTGTTTACACTGTGGTTGGAGCTGTGGAACTTGCAAATTAAGTAGAGTTGCATCACAATATGCCACAGCCCCATTTTCACAGCCACACCACCTGTGCATTGAGCTCCAGGCTAACAATGATGTTAACCGGCTAGTCATTTGACCTGTGTGTGCCCATGACTACTACTGTGTAGTTTCCATCTGAAGAAACTAGACTAGGGTGTTCTGATTGACTTGGGTTTCTCCAACACAGATGGTAAGATTAGTATGTAGGACTCTGTTGTTCAAACTCTCATCCATGTCCATTGGAAAACGTGATTCCCTGACCTTTTCTGCCTTCTGTCACTGAGTTCACCAGATGCCAAGTAGCAGTGGGCATTACCTAACACAGTATAACAAGGTTTTCTGTGCAGGTGATTGTTGATTTTCATTGGCTTAGCAGCTGCACCTGAATCTACTGATATTTTAACTACTACCGTGTGCAGCCCTGTGGCCCACAATCAGGGGCCCCACCACTTAGGCCGTGGCCTGGGGAGATCTCCAGTCCCACAGGCACCAGCTCTGCTGCTGCTGCCAAATGCAGTTTTTAACTAAGTCTCTATCATTCGATTTACCAATAAAGACTCCTCGGGAGTCAGATGTTTGGGTGAAACCTGCTAGCTCAGAGAGGCCGAGAAGCAACCAGCTGAGCTTCCTTATTAGCCAGAGACCCAGCAAGAGAATGTCCCTTCAGCCATCCAAAACCAAAAAGACCATGAAACTCCAAGTCTTTCCCTACTCCTTCCTGTGTGTCTCTATCTGTCTTCCTGGCTTCTCCATACTCTCTGGGCTAATTCCTGTCAACTAGTTGCTGGCTCTGCCCCCTGATCCATGATTGATTTTATTAACACAGTCTCAGGTTTTACAGTGGGATAAAATATCCCAGAACATGTGATGGTCCAGGTCCATCTGGCAATAGGCTGGCAGCTCTGTGATGGTTCATGGCAGATTCATTACTAAGGTAAAGAATGATTTGAGAGAAGGTACCACTTCCTAGGATTCAAGTTGAAACAGTACACTGCTTATTTGGCTCCGTATTTCTGTCCTGATATTACATTCTTCTCCACAGTAAAATCATGTGTTTGAGGTTCTATATGGAACGTGCAAATTGAGTTCATGGAGTAAATGAATGAGTGGCTCAATAATGCAGATATCTTCACAAAGTGTTTAAGTGTCTTCATGTACTTTCATAACACGGTGTTTTAATACGCTCCTAGGATATGTGTAGAAATCCACAGAAAGTCGATGAGGAATGTGGAAGTACTATAGAAATCACCTATCAAAGGCTGCCTTCCGAGCCAAGCAGAGCTTGTGCATGCTGACATATGACATCTCTTACTCTCGGGAGCACTGA